CGTATGTGCATTTGTTTCATGATCTCATTAACGATAGCCAAATGGGGGCCGCTTTAAGGCCGAAAATGCATTGAAATGGCACATTTTCACCATTCCGGACCCGTATCTCAGTTATGCATGGATGGATTTTGTTCAAATTTGGTACATACATTAAACATAATAGGACCTTGATGCACGTCTTTTTTTTTTTCGGATCAAGTTCGAAATGGCCGACTGGCGGCCATTTTGTTAAAGAATTCAGTTCTGGATCCGTATCCAAGACATGTCTGGATTGATCAAGTTCAAACTTCACACACACATGGTACATCATGTCACAAATAGATATGTGCATTTGTTTCATGATCTGCTTAACAATAGCGGAATGATGGCCATTTTAAGGCCGAAAATGCATCAAAATCACATATTTTCACAATTCCAGAACCGGATCTCAGTCATGCATGGATGGATTTTGTTCAGATTTAGCACAATGTGTTGTACATATGCAGGTGCATTTCGGTCATGATCTGCTTTGAATGTATATGTCACTCAAATATGAACGGAACGGGGACGTGTCATTGACAATGACTTGTTGAATAATATTTTAGTTATCTTTTCCACGTCCTTTTTTCAATTTATCCTTTTTTTATGTCTAATCTTTCGAGAACATAGCAGATTCTTTTATTTTGCCGATTGCTAGCATTTTTTCTTGAATTCCAAAACAATGTATGAAAACGCAAGTATCGTGACCGTACCACAGGCGCCTGTGGACCGTACATGCGTAAATGAATCTTACCGTCCATCGGCACGGGTGAGTACTGATTCTTTCTGATGGACCGGAACAGGAAGTCAGTGGATTTTTTCGTTAGCGTGCCACAAATAAAAATGTTATGGGTTTTGTTTTGACAAATCGTTCGTTTTGGCTTCGGGGACAAATCACCTTGTATATTTTCTACATTATAACTCAATTATGTTTTGTACTTGCTCTTGAACAAGAACAATTTGCGAACGTATAAATCATCAATTTCAAACTTTTTGCATTTCGTAAATATTGAAAGTGACCAATCCGTTTGTATTTTGGATTGTGGAGAACACTGGATAACCCTTTATGGAGTGGATACAACTATTGCAGCGGTTAGAGTATAATATCGATTTGGAAGTTACACATGAGGTCTTCAATGTTGCCAGTGGGTGTTCCAATCATGGAAATGCACCGTAATTGTTTGTGGTAGTAATTCATGCATTGAGTCAGATATCCTGAAATGACATGCACTGGTAGCTATTTCAAAGTGTCTTACAGTATGTTGTATACATTTTCAATCATTCATTTGCAGTTGTCCAATATTTGACTGTGTTTGCATTCATTGAACACCATTACCAGCCTATTGGACCCCAAGATAAGCTTATGCCTGTATTTACATTTAAATATATAAAATGAGTAAATGTCTACACTTATACTGCACACACATGATTTCTATCATTTCTGAATATATCCATGTTTCCGTACTTGCCCACTTTTTTAAAACATTTCCTGATTGGATGATGCTGCACTGAATTATTAACTTGTACTCTCTATTATGTCACACAGCCAATTTCAATTCATAATTGCATAACGTCCATAACGTAACAGCTTATCAGGTCTATTTGTATTTTCAGGATGTAGATGAGATGGTAGATAGCCTGGAAAAACTTAGAAATCTGTCAAAAGATGACAAAACTGAAAACGCCATGCTGCGGTCCCGTATTGATGAACAGTCTCAGCTGATATGTGTTTTGAAACAGCGAGCTGATGAATATGTACAGAAAGCACAAACCTTGGAGCGGGTCAACAAAGAACTGGAAGATTACAGAGACAATTCACAGCATATCATAGACAATGAAATAAAAAAATTCAATCTTCTAGACAGAAGGTTTCATGAACTTGCTGATAACCATGAAGAAATGATACGCTTCAAAGATGAATATAAAAGACAAAATGAGCAGCTTCGATTGGAAAATGCACAGCTCAAGGACGAGAATGAGCGGTTGTTTTCTGGAGCAATCACTGAGAGAGATGAACAAATTCAGTCCATGTCCCAACATATTATTAGCTTAAAGGAACAGTGTACAGAGTATGACAGCAAATTGTGGTAAATATTTGGTTTTCTAAATTTACTAAACTTGCTGTAAATTGTTTAAATTTCGCGGCTAAGAATTTTTTTCACAATTTCAAGATTGCTGGATGTTGCTTAAAATGTACTACCTTTATCCAGTGAAATTTTCATTTCTATGAAATTTACCTCTCCAAATGGTTAAAGGTTAAAGAGAACAGATAAAGATTTTCTTGTTTGTTTTCCAATCTCTCAAATATAGCCAAATGAAAACTGAAATAGATGAAACACGTAAAAGTCTGGAAAAAGAACTTAGGGAAAAAGACACTATGTACAGTAATGAAATATCCGTTCTTCGGAGTAAAATTAAACAAACAGAAGAACATCTGAGAGGTATGTATGCATTCATTGAAGTGGGATAGGGGTAGTTTTTTAGCTCCGCTGTCGACTTTGTCGAGCGGAGCTTATCATATGAGTGATTGTCTGTCGTCGTCTGTGTCAATGTTTTACTTTTTCGACTTCTTCTTGAAAACTACAAGCCTGAATGCTTTGATACTTGGTGTATATGTACCTTGGGTAGACCTCTCTTAGATTTGTTCATTTCATGTTGATATCTTCAATTCTCTAATTTTGGTGAATATTTTTGTCATTTTTGGTAAAAAGTGATATTTTCGACTTCTTGTTAAAAACCGCAAGTCCAATTGCTTTGATACTACATATATAGGTACTACATGTGGACCTCTCTCAGATTTGTTCATTTCGTGATGATATCTTCAATTCTCTAATTTTGGTGAATATTTTTGTCATTTTTGGTAAAAAGTGATATTTTCGACTTCTTGTTAAAAACCGCAAGTGCAATTGCTTTGATATTACATATATAGGTACTACATGTGGACCTCTCTCAGATTTGTTCATTTCGTGTTGATATCTTCGATTCTTTAATTTTGGTGAATATTTTTGTAATTTTTGGTAAAAAGTGATATTTTCGACTTCTTGTTAAAAACTGTAAGTCCGATTGTTTTGATATTACATATATAGGTACTACATGTGGACCTCTCTCAGATTTGTTCATTTTGTGATGATATCTTCAATTCTCTAATTTTGGTGAATATTTTTGTAATTTTTGGTAAAAAGTGATATTTTCGACTTGTTAAAAACCAAAAGTTCAATTGCAAATGTGCATTGCTAACAGCGGAGCTATCTCAGCCGACAGGCTGCTTGTTTTCTTTTACCCTCTTTATTTTTGTCGCCTGACAGTACCGGTACTCGCTATACAGTGCATTAGTGACTATCTTCTTATAATAAGTAGAATTAGGATTATCCTGCATACATCACCCAATGTTTTTTCAAAGCTGCTAGTGAGTGAATCCAATGATTCTGATTTCCTTATTTTTTGTCTGTGGCACATTCACCCAGCTCGCTAACAATTAGATATTGGTGTATGGTATATATTAAAGAAACAATCACCATTTGGAAATTGTAGCTGGGTTCTTTTTTTTAAAAAGTAAACATTTTCAAAATTTGCTACTCTTTTCATTGGGTTAAAAAATTAGTACTTGTAGTCAATAAATTTGATAGGAAGGATGCTTGCACTTGACAGGGCTGTGAGACATGTCCCGATTGATAAGTGTGCTATTTTTGATATAATAAATGAATACAGGAATTACAGTAAAAGTATATATATTAAAATAGATCATGATTTTTGAAAGGTCTAATAGTTCATTCAAGATCTTGGTGCATACTGAAAAAAACATGATCTCACTCCCAATAAAGAGCTATGATCCAACGTTTCTAAATTGCTCAGAATGTGCCGATATCAGGCATCCTCCCAAAAATATGGTTTGATATAGATGTAAAGACATTTCTTAGTATGTGGAAAAAAGATTCTGTGTCATGTAAAAACATGTTTGTCATGAAGGAAAAATTGGAACAGACTGAATACTATAGTTGAAAAAGTGGATTCTATAAATACTAAATATGCTAAACGACTTTAGACATATATGCAGAACTTGTTTCATTCGACATATGTAGGACAACTAATCAGTCATGAGCCAAGTAAGTTCTTGAAGAACCCAAACATGATAATTTCCTTAAAAATATGAAGAATTAACATTACATATATTCAGTATGTGCCGAAACCCTGTGATGTGAAAACAACAATTGTTCAATCTTGAAACATGGTCTGTGTACTGTTTGTGCCAAATACCAATCTATTAATTTGTCTCCAACAGGTGCTACAGCACAACTGCTGTACCACAAAGAAAATATAAAAACAACAGACGCTTCCCAACAGATGGCGATGGAGAAACTGAACAAGGAAAGAGATGAACTGTTAGACTTAGCAATGCAAAGGGGCAAACTCATTCAGGTAAAATATGTCATATTTTGATGAGTAGATTTCTGTTTCATAAATTACCGTAGAACAGTTTGATTTAACAATGCACAGCCCAGGTGATTGCCTTACACGTTGTAATATTTCCTAGTGACTTTTGACTCAATTTCCTTTGTAAATTTGTCTTTTTGAATCAATATTATATAATGTCAAGTCATTTTTTTCATACACACAAATAACACACCAAGGATAGAGCCTATGACAAAGTTACTGTGGCAGTGAAACTATTTTGGAAATTTGCCAAAAGAAATTACCTAAATCCTGTTACAATATTGTGCATTCTGTCTGAATTTTACATGCTTTACAGGATTCTTAATATTAGTAAATCAGCACAGTTCAAACAAATGCCAAGCAGTGGACAGGTACTACAGTTGATTAATGGGCAGAGGTTTTAACTTTGCTGTCAATCTAAATAATTTATGGTTTACCGGTAATATACTTGTATGTGGAGTAGAATTCTAATGGAAAAAATTATCTCTAATTATATAGGACAAACAAAAAGAAATAAAAGCAATGCACGATAAGCTGTTTGCAACTGAAAGAGCAGTGAAGCACATGGAAGATAAATTTGAGTAAGTACATGTTCACAAGATACCAAGATCCTTTGGCATCTCTTATCTGGTTACAAAAATGAAAAATAAAGAATACAACATGCATAAGCTACTGGTAGTAAAACAAATCAGACATAATATCTTTGTTTGAGTCACCATCCTTGTTTGTTAAGTGGTGGTTGATATTTTCTGTAACTTGAAAGAAATGTCTTTCGCAAGAATTACTTCACATTTGATTATATATCAGTGCCCCAGGCTATGCAAATTCCAATTCCTGCTTAACTTATTATTGGGGCACACAAATTGTACAAATGAAATTGTAAACGAAATATCTATTTTGAAAGGTAGGAAAACAAATCTACAGCTAGGCACCTTGAATGCCCTTGTAACGTATTACATGTTACTGTACTCAGTATTTTCCTCTTTTTTTTCTTCACAGAAGGGAAGCAGCATCTGTTAATGCCAATCTACAAGTTCAAAAACTTAAAAGGGAAAAAGATGAGTCTGAATACAGGAAGAAAGAACTAACCTATGTAAGTAAACCCACAAACTTCACATAAATGATTTGGATCTATTAGCTACAAGCTATATTACTATTACTGATACTTAGGGGCGCCAGTCCTAATTTTAATCACCAAGTTAAGCCTGCCTAACCACTGTATGAACAAGTACCTGATTAAGCAATCGCCATTATAATTAGTGGCGTCCATGTTAGAGATCATGGCACGTGCTGAGACTTGTGACCGTGTATGTGAACAGTCGGGGCCATGTCAGCACGTTCCGAAAAAAAAAATCTCAGTCTCGATAGATTCTCAGGGTCGAAACTGTCCAAACACTCAGCACGAGTCGAAATCCCCCCCCCCCCCCCCCCGGTGGTGAATTTAAGAGAACATATACTGATTCATACTAGTATGACATGAAGATGGAGGGAAGTGAAGCTATATATGGTCGGATGCTGTAGTAATGAATGAAATGAATGCAGAACGTTTTCAGTGACACATATTTATGTGCTGCTGCAATTGTTTTTTGAATCTTCTTTTCCGTTCATGTGCACAATGACTCATAATAAATACCATAACAGCAAATGGATATAATTTCAATATAATAGCAATTTTTATTAGCATCATATGCGTATCGTTATCTATGTTTTGGTCAAATAATAGATCAAAGAATGAGGGCGTGATTTTTGCAAAAGCAGAGTCGATTTCTTATATTTCTTATATTTAGCTCCCACATGTGCAAAGCACAAATGGGCGGGTAGGTAGCAACTAGCATTTGGTCATACATCTCTGGACCAGAAATATTTAGTTTTGTATATCTACCAATTAATTTGCATAGTTAACAATTAATAAACACATAGGAGCACAGTAAGTTCATTTCTGCAGCATTTGAATGATATATCAGCTCACATTACTGTATCTTTAACCATGTTCTTCGGGGCATAACATCCGGTGTATGCATATTCCACAGTGAATCAATAAACTGTTCAACTCATTCTCTTTGTGTACTACCTAATGCTTGTATACATGTTCATGTGGAATCTTTTAGTGATTCCATTTTATGGTTGTTCTGCATGTTAATACATTATGTTCTACCTACATGTTTAACTCTTCTCTATCGCATTGAAGAGCCATTCCTTGAAACATTTAGATATTTTGAATAGTTATTTAGGACGATTACCAAATATTATTTACTATAATATATTTATTGAACCGAGCAACATTTATTTGTTTGGGCGTCCGAAACAAAATGGCAGTGATCGCAAGTCAGATAAAGGACCTTGTATGCACAGCTTACCTGGGATATAGTCTACCCAAGGATAAAACTTCCTCAACACTTTATTTTGGGCCAGACTTTACATCTCCCAGGTACTGAGGCTTTTATCCTAAGGATGCTCAATTTATGGAGTCAATCCAAAGATGCACCTGATTGGTGAACTAAACCACGCAGTCTGACCAATCGGAGCAACTTTTACATGCTTTGACTCAACTTGATTTATGTAAACTACCTGGTACTTTTTTTTTTATCAAATAGGAATTTGAAGCTTACAAGAAGCACAGTAACAGTTTATTGAAGAAAGAGAAAGAACTAAATGAGAGACTAAGGCATCTAGTGTCAGCATAACACTGCATCGTATCTGAACAAAGGCTGGAGATAAACCACCAAATTCCAAGGCTGAATTGTCTTGGCTGACAATGTAATCACTGTATGCCAGAAATTGTTATCAGTCAAGTTCGTATTACTTTATTGGCAGAATTTGTTCTGACTGACCAGAGAAATAGAGGCTACAACACATCACAAAAAAAATATATACAGATTTTGATACAAAAACTTTCATTGTGTAGTTAATGTACAAATTTTCACTACCAGTCTGGTATAAAAACTGCAGGCACGCAAGGGCAAGGGCCCAAAGCAACCCATTATATTCAGTTCATTAGTGCATGTGTAAACCAGATTTTTCAAAATACAATAATCAATACAATGATTTACATTATACAACCAATGGCACTTTGGTTTTACACACATATGCACTTCTAATTGAGAACAGTTGTCAATTCTGCGCACTTTAAATCCATTCGTACCAACAGTAACATTCAAAGATGCATCCAGGTGACAATTCATTAACAGTAGACAAAGTTGGTATGAAAGTCAACTTGTAAATCAGCCCAGGTAGTATTCAAATTGCATGAACTTAATTGAGCTATTGCTTGCAGTCAGGTTGCCAAAGGGAATAATACATCACCATTGTACAGTTTTTGTATACATGTAATACACTCTGGACGTCTCCTGAATTTGTATCCTTTTATAGAAATAAAAATGCAGACAAATAAAATTGTTTACTGAGATTTTTATTTTGAAAACTACTTTTACACACGTTTTCAAAAGATGTTAAACATACTTCAAAATCTCATCTCAATCTGACACGCCAATAAACAAACTCCTCCAAAGTCCGAAATTGCCTGAAAACACACAAATATTATTTCTTTAGGCAAAGCAAGGGTGGACAGGTTAATTACAACAATTCCCTACAAAAACATTCAGTTAAACATCAAAATTACAATTCTTCAGCCAATCTTACTGCCTTGGCTTTCACTTCGTCGATATTACCCACCATGTAGAAGGCAATTTCGGGAAGGTGATCAAGTTCGCCTGCAATATATAGAGTATATATGAATTAACTACAGTATACAGCAACAATGTTCTACTCTTAGTAGATCTGACATGTTTTATCTAAATGTTCAATTGGATAGTCTTGCACTGGCAACAGATTGATAATTTTTTTGAAAAACTAGAGATTACACGTTTACAATTGTACAAGTTTATTATCAACAAGACTCAAGTACATTAAATAAAAGTGCCTGTCTTTATTGAATGAAAGATAGCAGTTCCTGGTCTGTAACAGACTTGCAATAATTTTTTTTGGTATTTAGTTATTTTGTAATTTACGAGTAAATTTCAGTCAGTGCCCATCTAATATAACATGTAGACAGGTGGCTGGCTAAAAGCCTACTTTAGTATAAATTAAAATACCTAACCATTAAATCACAACACAAAGCAGACAAGAGCATAAGTACCACATTCACCTACCTTTGAGAATCTGTGTGAATCCTTCAATTGTTTCAGAGAGGGGCACAAGTTTGCCTGGTGACCCAGTGAAGACTTCTGCGACTTGGAAAGGCTGTGATAAGAATTTTTCAATTTTACGTGCTCTTGCAACAGTTAATTTATCTTCTTCTGACAACTCATCCATACCAAGAATAGCAATGATATCTTGTAATGATTTGTGGTCCTGTTGATTGAGAAAGGTTTGCAATTAAAGATCAAAATGAGTCAAGTTGCTACACCTCTGATAACACATGCAGTACATAAAGCAAAAGTCATTTGAAACGCGATTCTACAGGCTTGTGTGAGAACATTAAAATTGACGTGCATATTGGAGTTAACAGACATTAAAACACGAAAATGTGTTACAATGTTTTATGTTTAACTCTTATTCTACACACTAAAAACTTAAAATCCAACAAGCTAATTATTTTGAAGGTTTTTGTAATTTGTCGTTTCAAAAACTCCAAGCCAATCAATGAATTGTGCTTTTAGTTTTATGAAATTTTCCCACCTCTGACTTTTCTTCAACAGAAACCGAAATGCATGTGGTGTTAAGGAACACCGAAAGAATGTAAACATCGTTCAAATGATCGCTTATTGTAGTTGAATACAAACAACTTGCTTTTCGCAGAGGTTCTAATACTATTGCTTATTATTCAGTCATGGCTTGATACAAAAAAAAATTTTTTTGGTTTGCTATGAAATATGTTAACTTCAAGATCATAATATGAAAACATGTTTTAGAACAGTTGATTCTGTACAGATGCAGAGTTGACCTGTCATGGGGTCTTTTGACCTAATAGAAGAAAAAGCCAATAGTCTGTCAATACCACATGTCACTACAAACACATTTCAAAGTTTTGAGGATAGTAAGGAAGGCATCCCTGGAGCAAGTTTTTTTTAATTGTTTTGACGTAATTTTTTAACTATTGATAGGGTTTGTACTTCAAAGCCATTGAAGGCAATTGCCTAGATGCTCTAGAAGTATGCCCTTTACAAACAGGTTCTCTCCCATGCTATGTCTTTACACCAAGACAATTTTACCAAATTCCCTCTAGCAAACTGGTGCCTTCTCAACTCTGTTGTTGAAGCCCTGTAACCATATTATATAGTTCTAGCCACAAATTTTTAGGGTTTTTAGATGTATCTAGCAATTTTATTAAAAAATCAAATGGCATCTTTACCTGTAGAATCTTTTGTACACCACGGGCAATTTCATAATGATTATTTCCTACAATATTTGGATCCATGATACGCGATGTGGAATCTAGAGGATCTACAGCAGGATAGATGCCCAACTCTGCAATACCACGAGACAGTACAGTAGTAGCATCCAAATGAGCAAATGTGGTGGCAGGAGCTGGATCTGTTAAATCATCAGCAGGTACATAAATAGCCTGAAAAGAAAATTTCTCAGCATTACAAGGTTATTTTAACTACAATCTACCAAATGAAATGACAATGTGTTTAGGACAGAGCCTTTTCACATTTCCACTCATGAATTCAAAGTTTGGTTTTAATTACAAGCTTCAGTAACGAGGAATTCAATTTTTATCAACACCTTCATAGTTCAGCAAGGGATATTGATTTTATCATCATCAGCTTGTTCAGTTCAATAAATTTCCACTTCAACTGGATACAAGTGAGCAATACTTATAAATATTACCTGTACTGAAGTAATTGATCCTTTCTTTGTTGTGGTAATTCTTTCCTGCATAGTACCCATGTCTGTAGCTAAAGTTGGTTGATAACCTACAGCAGATGGGATACGACCCAACAGAGCAGATACCTATACAGCAAAAACAAGCAGTAAATAATTTGATTGGTGGGGTGGGGGTGTTATCAACAGAATAACAAAAACATTGAACAGGCAATGTTGCTTTCAGCTTTTTTTATCATATTCTAATTTTCAGATTTGACATTGATATACCAGTAAAATCCAAATTGCTATTAACAGAAACAGATGGAAATTGATTTGTCCAAAAATGGGGCTCTGTATTCATAACTTAAGTGTTATAAGTTTATTAAAATTGAAGAAATTGTTAATACAACTGCCTACCTCTGAACCAGCCTGAGTAAACCTGAAGATATTATCAATGAAAAGTAGTACATCCTGTCCCTCTTGATCACGGAAATATTCAGCAACTGTAAGTCCGGTCAATGCAACCCGAGCACGGGCACCTGGGGGCTCATTCATTTGACCGTATACTAGAGATACTTTGGATCCATCTCCTTTAAGGTCGATGACACCAGATTCAATCATTTCATGATAGAGATCATTGCCTTCACGAGTACGCTCACCAACACCAGCAAATACAGAGTAACCACCATGGGCTTTGGCAACGTTGTTGATCAGTTCCATAATCAGTACAGTTTTTCCTACACCAGCACCACCAAAAAGTCCTGGAAAAATAAGGAATAAATTCAAGCTTAAACTAACTTAGTTCACAGGATTCAACTGGAAAACTAGATAAACGTGATCTGACAGGACCAAACTGTGCACATGTACATGTAATTCCTTAGGAATGGAAGGGTGTCACTGGAATCTGTCAACGACAATGAAAACAAGCGATACTTTATGGGAACTACCATATTCTGAATGAGGCATAATTTTTTTCAATAAATCACTTGATGTATACACCATCACCTATAGTTGGAAATTGTGCAATAATTTTGACTGTACCCTGGTGTTCTGAATGGTAGGTAACTGAGCTTGACAGGAGGCAGTTAAAGGTCAATTTAGAAATGAAACAAGTTTATTTTTGTACATATAATCATGACAGTAATAATTAACATTTGAAAATAAGAAAACGTGAACAAAATTTACTACCGTTTGTTACTATAAACAATTTGTTTTTATTTTATTTTATTAATTGTACTTAAACATTATGGGCAGCATACAGCCAAGGGATGAATATTAAAACATAACTTACCAATTTTACCTCCCTTGCAGTAAGGAGCCAATAAATCCACCACTTTTATGCCAGTCTCTAAAATTTCCTGTTCTACTTTCATTTCAACAAACTCTGGTGCTTCTTGATGGATGCCAGACCTCCTATAAATATAGACATTAGCAAATATTCAATCAGTGCTTACTCTATTTATACAGACAACACATTTCCTGGTCTGATTCCAACAACATTGATAACAAGCTCAGTAATGAATCAAAGAAAGCTTAGAAAGAACTCCCATGTGCCGAGAGTATTGGAGACACATTAAATATAATTCGAAATTACTTAGCTGAAAACTAATTATGCAAATCAGAAAATTAATATGACCAGATTTGAGTGTAAAACTAATGAGGTCTGCGCAATGTAACAGAAAATCTATGTCTCCAAGTTTAATTGAAATGTGATTAGAACCAAAAAATTATGAATTATTATGCTTATTAGGGAATTAATATGAACAGATTTTTACCCCAAACTAATTAGGTTTGTACATTGTCCTAGAGCATCTTTGTACTAAGTTTCATTGAAATGGAATAATTAGTACCGTGAAAACTCCAAAATTTCGACCCCTCTAAAAATTCGATTGGCTATTTATTTGCCGGGTTTCGGTGTTTTATTTACCTCCAAATTTTCGACTCCACTAAAAATTGCCGACTCATTCTTATTCGAAAATTGCGACCAGTTTTAGTTTTCCCCCAAACGAAAAAAAAAAACGATGTGAGCGTTCAAACGGGACCTTCCTCGAAGGCATGAATCCGGGTTTCTGATTGACTGAGAGATTTTTATTTTATTGGTAACGAAAATATATTCTAAATAAACGAAGTTTCAAATAAAAACGAACACAAAAATCTCGGCATGCTGCGTTTCTGAATT